TACAATTTCGGTTTTTGTTAAAATTTACCCCCCACCCCTAAATCCACCCCCTCACCCCCATCTTTGTAAAAGTCGTATATCAAATACTAGAGACTTGTGCTTCGGTTCAGGGGATCTCGTAGTCGAGCAGTCTCGACTAGAGCTTTCTTACTTGTTTATTTTTAAGGTTGTTCGGAAATAATCATTCAAATATAATTCAAATTGGAGTGCAATCAGATTCTGAGATCTTTATGAAGAGACACACACACACACTCACTCACTCACTCGCACACTTATGAGTATATGTATCTTTACATTAGCTTTTGGCGCGTTTCTGTGGTTGGTTGTCTGTCACTCTGTGTGTGTGTGTGTGTGTGTATGTATGGCTGGCGTGCGAAAGTTTGCGTAGCTCAACTTAACTCAACTTTTTGGCTGTGAAATGGCATAATGAAATAAATGTTAACAACAACACAACTGAAACTGAAAAGCTGACACAGACAACAACCTGTTTCCGAGCGCGCCGCATCTATATAATGCTATCTACATACACAGAGATATATGTATGTATATCTATTTATACACACACATACAACACATGCACATACACACATATTGCTAGACTTTTGCTGGGCTTGATTTTCGCTTGGTTGAGTTGCTTTGTTGTTGCTTTTGTTGGTTGTTGTTTTTGCAATTGGTATTTGATTTCTGTGCGTTTTTTGAAGGTCAACTTTTATTTCATATATGTATTTCTTTTTTTTCTGGCGGTTTTTTGTTTACCTGCTATTATACCCTGGCTCGAGCAATCAGCCAAATTGAGCATATTCGAGGTTGACCGAAAAAAAAACAACTTTAAATTGGGTGTAAATGCTCCTAAATTATTCTCAGCTAATCAAAGAGATCTACGGACTCTTCTATTTATTTCTTTTACATATATATTTCCTACTAAAACAAAATTGAGAATCATGGAAAATATAAGTTATAACAACTAATCCATTCCAAAGGTTGTTGTTGTAATATTCTTCTTGTATTATTCTAGTCTCTCCCTCTCTTTCCCTCTCTCTCTCTCTCTCTCTCTCTCTCTCTCTCTCTCTAATTTTGTTGAATATATTTAAAAGATGGTTTATCTTAGATCGAAATAAAAAGCCTTTTAGACTTTCTTTTGGATCTTGCCGGTCATACAATGAAGATGTTTGTTGATTACATATATTTATTCTACTTTTAAATCCAATTTTAATCTTCCAAAATGCCGAAACTCTTGAATAGTGCAATTACAGAGCATTGGCAGGCCAGTCACGCGGCTAGGATTAACATTTTTAATTTTTTGCTTGTGAGTTTAATGAGCCGTTTGCGTGGATATATAGGCTGATTGGGTGAGAATTGGCAGTTTGAATAATTATGAAACGGTAACTTTTGCCAGAAAACAAATGCAAATCTGATCTATAAATAACTGGAAATAGCTCAAGCAAAAAACCAAAACTGGTATCGAAAGAAACTTATGCTCATTAAATAAAATTTGTGTATTTATCGATAGCCAGAGCTTGTCAAACGACTGCTGGTCAAATCATGATGATATGAGTCCGTAGACTCCATTTATAAAGAGGGTAACTAAAAATGAACCCAGAACAAAAATATAAATATGTGAGGCAACAACCTTTAAAAGTGTCACCTCTCGCCATCCAGACCACACCTTCAAATCTCATCTAACGCCATAACCCCTTATGGGCAATGTGTCATTGTGGAATGACGTAATTGTCGGGGCAATTATATAGTTTAATGAAACGATTGAAGACCCACAGCAGAACGCCTCTTCCTCCCATGCACAGGTGTCTCCGGTCCGCGTTTTATCTTACCAATTTGAGCTTTGAGCTTGAGCCCAAGAAATGATGAAAATAAACTTCAAATTTATGGCTGACACTTCAGCGCACACCCTGACTGCCTGTTAGAGATTTATGATAGCGCTTATAGGGCTCGTACATACATATACTTCAACAACTCATTTCATAATCCCCTGACTAGTTTTCCATTTGAATAGATATATTTGTTGTTATTATAACTAATATTTTTGATATTTTCTTTAAAATGCTTTGCCCTCCCATAACCGCACGATTTTTATATCTTGGTCAAAACTTGAAGGGAAAAAAGTAAATAAATTATAATTTGTTATGTTTACTCTGAAGTGTGGGGCGACATTTTGTATACGCTCTTCTGCTGTTTCCACACAAATACGCTTTATGTGTATGTACAAAATACATATATGTATACATATGTATCGTCGCATACATATGTATATATATGTATATGCGACGCGTAGGTGCAGCCAAAAACCACAAGGGCCACACATTTTCATTGCTCGTAACACGCCCCGTTTCGTTGGACCCAGCTACCTAGCGAAGACCTATACCCCGATGGGTGTACCAATTTAGATAAGCAGTACAATATTGACGAAAACATTCAATACAGAAAACATTCATTTCGCTTTAAAGTTCAATTTGTCATGAATTTTGTTGAAGTTGTCATCGAATATTAAAATGTTTGTCAGATCAAATATATTGTAATAATTAATATTTTTTGTATTTATCTGAGCCTACGTTTTCATATTATTAGAAATTTATTCGTACTTTAAAATTGTATTTAAAATTCTATTAAACTTTCTTTATAAATCAAACTTTAAAGTTTTAAGTAATGCTTTGGCAGTTGGACTGAGACATTTAAAACAAGTTTCTGATCCTACATAATATCGTAAGACATCAGTTTTATAATACTGCGCATATAAAAAATAATATATTTAGTATTTTTGTGAGATTGTCTTATAATTTAACCAAAAATTGCTGCCTATAACCTACTTTGAATTCCGCACAGGGTAAAAGTTAGTCTAGCACACAGCTTCACTCTCTGCCGACTTCGTTTGGTGTCTTTTTTATTCATTTTCGAAAATTTGTTGTAGAAATTTCGTGTTGGCTATTATGTTTTCACTTTGAATATAATTCTTGTTGATCACTCATGAATTTCAATGGAACTTACGACATAAATCAGCTGCGAAGAATCCTACGCACCAGCTAATGACTTGTATATGCAGATAGCTCATCTCTATTTCTTCTTCTGTCATTTGTTTTCCCTTTTGGGGTGAATGTATCTGTATCTGTATCTGTATCTGTATCTGTATCTGTATCTGTATC